CCCCCCCCCCATTAAATCCAGTCTACTGTCTAACCTTGTGGTAGAGAGTCTCACTGCCTGGCACCCAGCCCTCAGGTCTCACCAGGATGGGTCTGGAGGCCCATGCCCACGGAGGAGACGGGACAGGGCAGTGCCCCCTTGGCCTGCCCAGCCCCCAGGCCTTACTCCGCACCTTCCTGTCAGATGCCCATCAGTGCTATTTGTGGGTTTTTTACTCCCCTGCAAATGGTGGGCCAAAGTTATTTCTGTTTTCTGTCTCCAGTGCTTGGGCTGGGGATGGGTGGGCCAGTTCTATCTGAACTGGCTGCCCACTGTGCAGCCCCCCTGCCCTGCCTGCCGTGGGCATCAGCCATGTGGGTTCCATCAGCAGCAGGGACCCCCACGCCCTACGCATGCAAGGTGAAACACGGTGTAAATAGTTAAGGACGGACATTTTATACCTCTGCGATATTGGGGCAGCGGCGGGGGTTTTAATGGTGACACACATGTATATTTTGATAGTAATTACAGACACAGCATTGTGACGTGGGGAATTGCGTCTGCTCCGACCTGGAGCCACCAGCAGCTGCAGTTCGTGAGAAGTGAATGAAATGATTTTATAACACAGTGCCTCAAGGGGAATCCCTGAACTCTAAAGGGCCAGGGAGAGATCACAGGTGCATCGTGGGAGACATAAAACTAGGCCTCTTCAGAACCCTGTCGTCCCCCCCCCCCCTGACAGGCGCTTTAGAGGACATTGCCCCCAAGCAGCGACAGCCCGTGACCCCTGAACATGACCTAGCTGTGGAGGACAGACAGGATTTCCCAAGGTGCTCTGCTGGGCTGAGGCCAGGGCGCTTCAGTGGACTCGGCCACTCCCCATGATGGTCGGGTCTTGCTAGATTACAAATGACCTCCAACTACCCATGATTTCTCATGGTTCGGTGGGTTGACCAGGCCCTGCTGGGGCAGCACCGCAGGTAGCTGGGGTGCTGGGTCCCCAACACAGCTGGCACTGGCTGGGGGCTCAGCGGAGGCTCAGTTCCCCAGGTGGCTGCTTGGGTTTCCTCTTAGCAGGGCATATGGGTCCAAGCAGTCTTCTCGCCGGGTGATGTCAGGGGAGGGGAAAGAGCCATCTCTCAAGGGGCGCCACCTGCACGTACAGTACCACCCCCACCCCACCCCCACTGCCAGCCATCAGTTCCAACTCACAGGAGCACAGAACTGAACTGCGCCTTACAATCGTAACCTTTCCAGGAGCAGACACCGCATCCTTTGAGGTGCTGCCCGTGAGTTTGGACGGCCCCTTCCCTTGCTCCCCCACACCAGTCACTTGCTGGCAGGCTTTGTGACCGGGGCAGGTCTCTGTCCGTCTGTAAGTCTGTAAGCAGAGACACTGCTTGGTGCTCAGCCCTGGGCTAAAATAGGAAGCGGGTCGTATCCGTTTCTGTCTCAGCTGACTCCGGTCAGACTGACCAGACCTCCTTCCAGCCCTGGAAGCAGGGCGAGTTACCCAGGCAGCTAGGTAGAAGCGCGGGCTGACTTACTAAGCGGTGGTGACCGATTCACCTTTGCCCACCACATCAGAGGTCCCGCTTCCTAGGTCTGGCTGGCGTCCTTCTCCCACCCCCCACCGCACGTTTCCGATAGAATACAAGCCTCTCTCCAAATTCACAGTCCCTGACAGGACCAGGGATGCAACAAGCAAGCTGAACACGCATCTGTAAGGAATCGTTACATTATTGCTATTATTTACCACATGGTGAAACCCATGTGAGATTGTTCACTAGAGATTAGCCTTAAGTGAACTAGCCCCCATGCAAAGAAGGAAGGCTGGCCCGGAAGCTGCTGTTAGAAACTGGTGGAGCCTGGCTTTCCCTCAGGGGTAGACTGCTGGGGAACCAGTTTTCAAATCATGCTCAAGTTTTGTTCTCAGAAGGGCCCATTGAGCTAGAAAGCAGAAGTTGGGGCTCTCCTCGGCTTGCCACCAAACAGGCTACAGGATGTGGGTTCAGACCCCAGTACCTTTGCTCTCTCGTTCGGACCTTTCAAGGTCACTAGTTTGTTTGTTTGTTTGCTTTGTTTTAAGGTTTTTAAGGTTCAAATCAGCCCCATATCAAAGTCAGACTTTGAGATGGGGCTTGGGGCCTCTCCAGGACTGGCAGGTGGGAGGGAGGGGGATTCCCTACAGCACAGCCCCTACTTACTGGTTTCCAGCTTGAAGCTGACTCCTGGGTTCCTGGGCCTAGCACCCCTAACGTTGCCCCAGTGGGCTTAGAGAAGCACCCCTCTTTTTAAGTCACCTGGAGGCAGAAGGACCAGCAGCAGGCTGTACAACCACTGTTGTGAGTTGTCACCAAGTCAGGGGTTGGCTGACGGTGATCCCCTGCGCTACAGAGTCAAACTGCTCTGCAGGGTTCTGTTGGCTGTAATCTTGAGAAAGACAAGATTCCCACTCCTGTCAAGAGTTATAGTCTTGAATGGTTGCTGAAGACAAAGCGGGTACATAAGCAAATGTAAAGAAAGTGGATAGTGCCCGGCTCTCAAAAGATAGAGCGTCTGGGGTCTTAAAGGTTTGAGGATAAATGGCCATCTAGCTGAGAAGCAACTAAGCCTGCATGTAAGAAGCACACCAGCCTGTGTGATCACGAGGTGTCAGTGGGATCAGGGATCAGGCATCAAAGATTCAGAACAAAAAATCATATTGATGTGAATGAGGGGGAGCAGAGTGGAGACCCAAAGTCCATCTATAGACAACTGGACATCCCTTTACTGAAGGGTCACAGGAAGGGACAAGCTAGTCAGGGTGCAGTGTAGCACCGATGAAACATACAACTTTCCTCTAGTTCTTTAATGCTTCCTCTCCCCCACTATCATGACCCCAATTCTACCTTACAAATCTGGCTAGACCAGAGCGTGTACACAGGTACAGATAAGAGCTGGAAACACAGGGAATCCAGGACAGATAAACCAATAATGAGAGCAGTGATACCATGAGGGTTAAGGGGAAGGTGGGGGGAACAGGGGGGCGGGGAGTGGGGACAGATCACAATGATCTACATATAACCACCTCCCAGGGGGACAGACAACAGAAAAGTGGGTGAAGGGTGACATTGGACTGTGTAATTTATAAATTATCAAGGGTTCATGAGGGAGGGAGGGTGGAAATGAGCTGATACCAAGGGTTTAAGTAGAAAAAAAAAGTCTTGAAAATTATGGCAACAAATGTACAAATATGCTTGACAAAATGGGTGTATGTATGTATTGTGGTAAGAGCGGTATGAGCCCCCAATAAAATGATTAAAAAGAGAACAGAAGTTACAGTCTTGGCACCGTAAAGGGTGTTCTACCCTGTAGGGTCACTATGACTCGACTGGACCCAGTGGCCGCGCATTGAAGTTGGAGGCCCACGCTGGGCACTGATGGACCATTTGTTTAATGACTGAGTGAGATCTGCTTTTGGCTCACCCACCAGGCTCAGCCTGGCCTGGCTGCAGCCCCCAGCCCCCAGCCCCCAATCCCTTCCAATTCCACCCCTCTGCCCACCGAGCCTGAACAGCTGGGCATTCTTTCTATAAGTTACCCGACAGCTGGTTCCCCTTGGAGCCCAAATCCTTCAGGGCTCTGCTGAAACGCTCCTTCCTTGGGGAAGTCATCTCTGATCCCAGGCTGCAGCCCTGCTCTGCAGCCCCCAGCTCCCCGGGGTGCTCACTTTCCCAGCCCCAGGAAGATGAGGCCTCCCCTCATTTCTCTGTCAACTCTCCAGGCGTGGCACAGAGCTTGGCATGCATGGTGGGTGCTCAGTGAATGTCCTTGGGTTGGTTGAGTGGCCTCTGTGTCCAGGAGTTTGTTTATTCATTAGGAAGACTTCGACCTGAATTGCACAGTCCACTGTCTGGTTGGATGCTGGGCGGCCACGGTGGAGCACACCGTTGTGGGCACTGGCCTCTAGGGGGCGCAGGGCGACAAGTTTTGAATAAAGAACCTGGTCTCCAAGGTCGTAGGGTGGGGCCCATACTGTGCAGAGGGCACAACGCGTACCTACATGCCATGCTTGCTCCCACTGCTCTGAAGAATGGTCAGCCGAGGCCGGCCCCCGGGGAGACTTTCCTGGTGGGCCTCCAAGTACCATTTACGGGATGCCTGGGGGGGGGGGGGGCGGTGCCCCCGTGTGCTACAGAGTCAAACTGCTCTGGAGGGTTCTGTGGGCTGTCATCTTGAGAAAGACAAGATTCCCACTCCTGTGGAGTCAGTCTTGGAAGCCTAAAGGGGCAGTTCTACTCTGCTAGGGATCGACCTGGTGTCAGTGAGTCTGAGTTTCTGAATCTTCATGGAGGCAGATTGCTAGACCTTTCTCCCACAGAGCCCCTGGTGGGTTCAGACCAATCGCCTTTCAGTCAGCTTGGCCGCCCAGTCCCTGGGGTTGAGACATTTCCCCAAGAGTCTTAAAGACGCAGCCAGTGCTTAGAAAATGTGGAGTGGCAGGATGAAGAGTAAACTGCCATTAATCAGTGCAGCCTCCCCCGCAAACCACGGCTCCCTGGACTAGAGTCCATCCTGTGGCGTCCACCGATCTGCCCAGGACCCGGCTCTCCACCCCCCACCACTGAGCAAAGGCCAGTGGGCACTTTCGGCAGGCCCCTTGCTTCCTTTGCCACCGTGCAAATTCCCGATAGAGCTGAGGAGCTGGGGATAGAGACAGGTGACATGGCTGGGCGGGGTGGGACCCGGCAGGCCGGCTCTGGGAATGCTGGGAGTTGCTAGCGGCGTGAGTCTAAGAGAACCAGAGCTGGTGAGCGTGAGTGGCCTTGGCCACAGGAGGTGTGCAAGCGGGGAGCAGCATGCACTTGTTGGGGTGCTGCAGAAGCCTTCCTTGCAGTGGTGGGGGTGGGGAAGAGCTTGAGTTTGACGTCTGGTTTTTCCCTCTGGAGGTTCTAGAAGCCCATGAGGTATAGTGCATGAGTAGGCTCTCTGAACAGGCCCACCTGAGCGAGCCTGACCTAGCACCCCCACCTGTCATCAGACACCCTGCCTGCCTTGGCCCCCAGCACCATGCCCGACGTGTGGCAGGGGCTGAGTTGGGCCTACAACTTTTGGCAGTTACCCACACTCCAAGGGCCTTGTGTCCCCACCGTGCAGCAGGGAGTGAAGCACCTACCTGACAGGATGGGGAGCCCTGCGGCAGGGCTGGTCCTCGGTCAGTGCTACCGCTCCTCTCCAAACGGAACTGAAGGCAGAGGTCTCTGCTGCCACCTCCCTCCCCCTCCTCCAGCTACAGCACCGCCTTTTAAACCCAGAAGGAAGCAGAAAACGGATGCCCCGCCCTCCATCAGCCCACTCCCTTTTCCTAACACCCCTCAGGTGGGCTCCGGTCTTCCCTGCAGCTGTTATGCCCCACCCCTGTACATAGGCTGTGTCCAGCAAGAGGGGATGGCTTGGCCGGAAGCTCCCTCCACCCACAGCGCAGAGGAAGAGCCAGGTATCGAGGGCCATGGTATGAGGATCCAGTTTGATGGGGAAGCTTCCAGAAAAGGTGCCCTGAGCTTGGAAGACAAGGTGATGCCCTGCGCCCGCCTTGAGCGGGTCAGAAGTGTGGGCTGGGTACAGAGCATCCAGTTAAAATTGTACTTCAGATATACAGTATTTTCCCCCGTATGCTGGGGCAGACTTAAAACTAGAGTTGTTTTCCCGAAACTCGTTTAATTGGGTATCCTGTGTTTTTAATTTGCTGAAGCTGGCAATCCCAACTGGGATGGGAAGGGGCTTCAGAGGGAGGGCTACACAGATGAGCCCCTGAGGGCAGGGGCCTGGTCCTGCCTGGGGGTCTCAGACAAGAGGGCAGGTAGGCTCAGCTGTAGATGCTGGGCTGCAGGATGCAGGAGCCCCTTCCAGACCTGGGACTAAGTTGAGGAACGGACCCAGAAAGGGGGTCTGGAGATTTAGGCCCTCCAACCCAGGCACCCGGAGACCATGGGACCTGGAGAGATCTCGCTGGCAGTTCTGATCAGGCTGTGGGGGAGGAGTGTGGGCACTGGGATCCTACCACAGGACCCGGAACGAGCAGAGCCTGGGAGAACTCGGGGCCATGAGAAGCGGACTGCAGGGAGGACAACACTGCCAAACCTTGTCGCAGCCCCATGGCCAGCAAGATGGCAGGGTATCTGGGAGCCACCGGATCTCAGCTAGAGGCAGTGGCTGAGCCCCAGCCCCTGCTCCACCCTGTCCTGGGCCACATCCCTCACCTCTCCCACCACTACCCCGTCACAGAAACTCACTGTTAAGTCGGGCAAGAAAAGCAAACTGTTTATTTATATATACTGGGTCTCTCCACTACAGTTCCCTGAAAGGGCCTTCCTTTCAGAGTCTGTCCCTTTGGGGTCCTCACACCAGCCCGAAGCCAAGTCTGTTTGCAGATGCAGGCTTCTGAGGCACAGTCCAGGGGAACCCACGCAGTCCATAGCCCGGCGGCTGACAGCCGAGGGCAGAGGGCTGAGTCCTCGCAGCAGGGCACGGGCCTGACGGCTATTGGTGGAGAATGTAATGGCACTCTGGTCTGTAGGCGCCAGGGGGAGCTTGGCAGTTGTTAATGGCAGGCTGGGGCAGCAGCCCAAAACTCTTCTGTCCACTTGGGGCCCCAGGCAGCTGAACCCCACGACCCTAAACACAGACCCCACGCAGAGCTACCCAGTGTGGCCGGGGAGCTGCTGCAGACCTTGGTATCCCCGTGGGAGCACTGCCTTCGGGAGCATCATCACCAACACGGGGTGGGGGTGGGGTGGGGTGAGGTGTGGGGGTGCTGGGTAAAATGTTCCCCTGCTCGATGGCAGGCTTCTAAACTAGCTTCGGGTTGCCTGCAAGGAAGGCTTCTGCAGCACCCCAACAAGTGCATGCTGCTCCCCACTTGCACACCTCCTGTGGCCAAGGCAGACATTCCTGCGGTACAGCCATCATGCAGAAAGGGGCTGGCCAGGAGGTGGCACTGTGCTGGAACAGGGCTCAATCTCACGAGCCTGAAGCTTTGCTCCACTAGGGGGTGGGGTGGACAAGTAGGATGCCTGCCATCAAGTCCTAAATGGTACAGGATCCACCTCAGCCCTTCACACATCTGCCAGGCAGCCCTGACTACTCCTGACCTTCCCACCCCAGTCACGTCTGGAGTTCATTTTCAGTTTGGACTAGTGCACAGCCACACGAAACACGACCCGAGAGGCTGCCTCTCCCAGGCTCCCCTGGCCCCTGGGGACCCAGCCACTGAAGCACCCCACCCTGTGCCCTGCTGCAGCACAAGGACCCATTGGCTTGTCCCCGCTTTGGAATGGGGAGATGGCCAACATATCCCCATGCCTGCCACCCCCAGGCTCCAGACACCCGGGAGGGCTCCTGCCCAGCCGTGCAGGGTTGCTATGCCCGGCTGGTGAGAGTACATGGATTCATCAGCTCCTGAAAGCACCTGGCCACCTACCCCGCTCACCATCAGCTAGCCCAGCTCCGTAAGGCAGCACCTGACCTGGCTCCACCAGCCCAGCCCAGCCACCTGGAGTCGGTTCCACCCAGCAGCTGTTTGTTCTCACCCTCTCTCCAGCCCACCAATTGCGAGGAAGGCAGTGGGCTCAATCTGAATCACGTGGGGTTTTAAAATCTTGGTGCCTGAGGCCCGCCTCACACCATAAAATCAGAACTATGCCTGAATTAAAAGGTCTTCCAGGAGATTCCAGTGCACAGCCAGGCTGAGCACCTCTGCTGCAAGCCAGGAGCGGGCAGGCTCCCTAGCACCAGCACTCGCCTTAAAGGGTCAGAAATGAGAACGGAAAAAGGAAGTCTTTCCCTCCCCACCGCCATCCCCCCAATTCTCAGAGAGAATAACCTCTGGTTAGTTCAGTTAAACAAGAGTGTTTGTTTCACTTTCATTTTATTCCATATGCCTGCCCATGGAGCAGGGTTAGCTGACCCAGGAAGTGCGCCCTTTCCCATCAGATACAGAAGACCCACTGGCTGCTTCGGCCACTTTGGTTTGGCTTGCCCTTGAACTCAAGGAGAGCTCAATGCAGGCTGACACTGAAGTCTACAGCAAGGCCTCCCAAGCCCTGGAAGCCAAGGGAAGTTCAGATGCTCGTGCCTGGCCTGCTGAGGTGACACAGCAACAACTGAGCCCACCCAGGACAAGTCAGACTCACCTGGGGACTCTCAAGATCCTGATGCCCTGGCCACACCTGCACCGACACACCTGAACCTTGGGGAGTCAGCCTCATGGTCTGGATTTTAAAGATCTCCTTATTTCAATTATGGCTCAGACATTGCACTGAGCAGTCTTCTTAAAATAGGTATTTTTTTATCTGAATTCTAATGGGCACACTGCTGATTACCTGACAGTCCTACTACCAGAGGGACAGAACTCCCAACTGAGAAAGAGGAAGGAGTCCCCCTCCCCTCCACTCTCTCCTGAGTTCTGGAACTTGCCCAAGTCTTGTGGGTCGGAGCCCTGGAGTGTCTCTCGCCCCTCCCCCCAGGTTGGCTATCAAGCTCCAAGGAGAACTGAGAGGGCAGACGTGATCTTAACCAAGCTAACCTGATGGACGGGTCGGATGAGAAATGCATCTGGACTGGACTGTGGGTTACAGGCACACAGGTTCCCCTCCAAGTCTCAGACCTGAACCCCGACTGCCTCTTCCAGCATTTCTTAACCCTCACTGCACAGAGTCTGGGAGTTTGTCCCCATGGGACCCCCTGGAGGGGAAGATCAGCAGGCTGGCACAGGCCCCAGCTTTCCTGGCCCTCCTCTAGCTGTGCTAGAAGTTGGTTGGCACCAGGTGGGCATTCCTCCCTCAGCTGTGACTCTGTATCATTTGGGCCTCAGCTGTCTTCTCAGGACCTCTCCACCCAAACAGAGAGAGACACCAAACCAGGTGTCCCAGTTTTGATTCCAACCCAGACCCTCGGTGGCTTCAGTAGAGCTGTGCTCCACAGGGGGCACTCCAAGCCTTCCCCAAGATGATGTGCCTCAGGGGGCTTTGATCTGCCAACCTTTTGCTAAGTGGCTGACCATTAACTAGCACCACCCAGGTGCTCCTGAAGCGCACAGGAAACCTCACTTGTGAAACGCATCTCTGAGCTTCTCTCACCGGCATCTCCCTCTTCGGACACTAAACCCACACCAGTGCCGCCTCCTGGTCCATCTTCTCTCCTTTATTCCTTCCTCCTGGTGCCCTCTTCGGAGACCCCTCCCTCATTCCTGCTTTCTACTGCCTGCATCTTCTCAGACTCTTGGGGAGCCAGGGAGGCCAGATGCCAAGAGCTTAGACTCCCCAAAACTGACCCCTGGCCTAGTGGTCCTGCCGGGGCTGGCCCCAAACCCGAGAAGAGGATTCAGCCCCACCACTGGCAGCAAGAGAAACGACCGAAGCCCGACAGAAGCAAGGCTGATGGGCATGAAACGAAGCCTGATTTGGGCTATGGCCCTGCCATGGTGAGCAAGGGCACACCCAACCCCCAGGTCCCTCTCGGTCTCTCTGCCCTCCTCTCGGTACACCCCTCCTCGACATGCCCAAACCTGCCTTCAACTACCAGAAGTGCCCAAAGAAACCAGGAACCACAGGGGAGAGTCATACGGGATGCATTTATGTAGAAGTGGTGAGGGAGACGAGTCACAGGCCGTATAAGACAGAGATGCCCTAGGATGCTCCAGAGTCCCGGACATGCCCCATACACACAGCCCTCGTGGGGGGTGGGGGAGGAGACTTGGCTTCCCGGCTGGGTCTGCCACCATGGCCTCCCCGTGAACTGGATGAGTGTTTCTTAAAGCAGGCACGAGGGGTTCCTACTGTACAACTTGGCCCAGAGCCCAGATTTTGAGGCCTGGCACTAGCCGCTGTCCTCACTAATCTTACTCCTAGAATACCATCACTGCAGGGAGGCGACTGACGGATGGGGTCCTTGTCCTCCCCAAGCCCCTTCTTTGGTTGTCCAATACCCATGGCCACATAGACGCCCCACCCTACCACCAACCGACTTCCCCCACCTTCTCCACTTCCTCCCAGTGTCTTAAGAGGAGGATGAAACAGAGGGAGGTGGGTAGGCAGGGTGAGTCGTGCTTCGGGAGCAGGTGCAAGAACCCCGCAGAGAGCTGCTGTGCTCGCCGGCAGTGGGGCCTCAGCCCGCACGGGTTCCTGCCACCCAGAAGGCGCCAGCCCTGCTGGAACAGCGACGGAGGTGGCCTGAGCCCAGCCACGGAGGTTGGGAGCACCCAGCTGCTGGGTGGTCAAACTGCTGAGAGGATGACTGTGTGTGCCCTACCCCAGAGGGGCCGAGGCCGGGCTGAAGGGCCTCGCTCCCTTGAGTGTTTCTAACTCCTTCTCCCCAGAGGTAGAGTCATTTATCCAGTCTGTACGCTGCCAGCATCCAGCTGGTGGTATTACAGTACCTCGAGAGAGCAGGCCCTATGCTCCCCCTCCAGCACCAGGGCCCCTTGCAAAGGGCTCACAAAGTGCATGTGCCATCCGCCGGCAGGGCACGCAGCCACAGCCCAGGAGTGGGCACGGGCGGCCCCACAGACACAGGACATGTCACGCACGGTGGCCAGAGACACATTTACAGTGGGGGTGCGAGGCTGAGCTGGGGCCCCTATTCTCAGGTGGGACCCACCCCCGGGCCCTGAGGCTGCTTGGCAGCCAGCCCCTGCTCAGTGTTTGATCTCCAGGATGGAGGGGTTGTGGTCCAGGATGGCGAGGATGATCTTGTCCATGTACTGTCGCAGGCGGAAGTTGATTTCCTCCTGCTCCCTCAGGGCTTCCATGAGCTGCAGGGCACAGGAAAGGCATGGTCAGAGTGGCTGGGCCCAGGGTGGCAGGCTCAGTACTGGGCTGCAGGACAGGAGTGTGACAGCAGCTCAGTCCAACGAAGAGGACAGGGTCTACAGAGGCCAAGCCCCTGGGTGGTGGTGGTGTGTGTTTGCCCAGCCTGGAGTGGCCCAGCTCCCAGCTTTGCCCCGTCTCAGGGTCACTGCAGATGGTCTGGTGTACTTGCCCTGGGCAGCTAGAGCCGGCATTACAGCAGGTGAGGGGCAAGGGGGCCAGGACTAGAGTGAGGAGGGGGCCTGGCCCCAGCACAAGAGGCAGAGAACACAGTTACCTCATCGCGTGAAGCTGTGTCTATTTCCGCAGCCAGAGACTGGGCTTTGGTCTGAGTGGCAAAGAGGTTCTTAGCTTCATAGAGGCTGAGGCTCAGGATCTGTCCATTCAAGTCGTCGTTCTGATCCCGTAGCTTATGGTTCTCCTGTCACGAGGACAACAGGAGAAACCAGTTCCCGGGCACATCCCAAACCTCACCTCTGCACCATCGTCCGCTGATCTGATCTGGCTAGCCCCCGACACTCATGTGTGCCAGACTTGAGAGAGTGGGAGGGCTGGGTCCTGGTCTTGAGGCCAGGTGCCCTGGGAGTTCATGTGCCTCCAAGGAGCTGGGCTCCTGGACAGGACATGGCCCTGGCCCCTTCCTCCTTGGGGTTGGATGAGCCACAGCAGGAGCCTCCAAGGCCCATGGTGGGGTGGGTCCAGCTGACAGCCATTGTCCACACAGCTCCCATGGTGAGGATACGGGGTGGCCAGAGGCTTGCGGGCAGCAGGTTAGGACTTGGCATGGCCCTTCTACCACTGGCTGAGAAGCCCAGCTCTGGCAGGAGGGTGCCTTCCAGGAGTGACCTTGCTCCACCAGCCCAGCCCTGCTCACCAGCTCAGTGCTCCTGGCTTCATTTGCAGTGGTTCTCAACCTTCCTAATGCTGTGACCCTTTCATACAGTTCCTCATGTGGTGGTGACCCCCAACCGTAAAATTCTTTTCACTGCAACTTCATCACTGCCATTTTGCTACTGTGATGAATTGGGTGTGCCCTATGAAAGGGTCATTTGACCCCCCAAAGGGGTCGCGACCCACAGGTTGAAAACCGCTGGTTTAGAGGCTCCCAACTGCTCACACTGGGGCCTGGCGAGGAGCAGAGCTCTGGGTTCAGGATTGTGGGGGAAACCCTCCAGCCATGCCTCTGCCTGGAGGTGGGAGAGACTAAGTGGCCTGCCTCAGCGCACTCCAGCCCACTTGACCCCTGCCCTCCCCATCCCACTTCCCCGCCCTGTGCTGGTGCCCGAGGCTGGCAGTGCAATCCCCAGATGTGGACGCTTAGGCTCTGGCTCTGCTCTGGCAGAACCCGCCGAGCCTGGCACACATCTGAGGCCAGCAGAGCGGCACTCCTGACCCAAGTGCCAGGACAGAGGATACCCTAGGGTAAGCCCCCCGCCTGTAAAGTGAGGTGAGCAGCCGACAGGAGCAAGCAGACACGGGGGAGGCAAGTGGGTGCCACATTCTTGCCGACTCACCATGCCACAGCCAGGGTGGCCTCACCACTGGACAGGCTCCCAGGACCCACCTGCCTGAGCCGCTTGACCTCGTGCTCCAGCTCCACCTCCCGGGCCCTGGCACTGAACTCGCCCAGGCCGGATGACGCGCTGCGGCCCCTGCCCGGCCGCTCGCAGTCCAGCTTGTACATCTGCAGGTGCTCCAGCTCCTTCCGCAGGTCTTCGATGAGCTGTAGGGGTTGAGGCTGGTTGGCGGGGCAGGGGTGCTGGGAGGAGCCGGAGAGCCTTCTGGCTGGGGACCTACCTCTTGGGTGGCCTCGCGCTCCTTTTGGAACTCCAGGCGGTTCTGCCGCAGCTTGTCCATCATGCGCTTGTACAGGTCCATCTCATCCTTGAGCCGCAGGCTGGTGTCCTCCAGCCGGTCCGACATGCGCTGCCGCTCCTGGGCCAGGGGACCCCGGTCAGGACCGAGGGTCCAAAGTCAGTTCCCAGAGAGGAACCACCTGGGGCATCCGGACCCCAAGGTGGCAAGTGCACAGCCAGCCCAGCCTCCCCAGACAGCCCTCCAACTCGCAGCTGAGCACAGCCAGCCTGCAGGAAGCCCAGGTCTTTGTGCCACGGTGCTGGATAGAGCTTCAAGACAGAGGTGGCAGCCCATAGCAAAGTGAGCCTCTTCCTCCTTCCGTAAAGACAGGGATCCCTCCCCGCCCCGCCCCCCAGTATGTACAAAAATACATTCACTGTAGTAAACCTGAAGGAGGCCTGGTGGCACCTTGGTTAGACACTTGGCTGCCAGCCACAAGGTTGGTGGTTCAAGCCAAGTCACCATGCCAAGGAAGAAAGATGAGGTTTGCCTGCTTCTGTAAAGCACAGCCTCAGAAACCCTCAGAAGCAGATCTACTCTGCCCAAAAGGGTCGCTGCAAGTCAGAACTGAGCGGACGGCAGTGGGTGTGGTTGGGACATCAAACACATGAGAACAGCTCCCGGATCACATCTGGCGGCACGTGCTGTGTGGAGCAGGCCAGCTGCTCACCTCATCCAGCTTCTCCGTCTGAGACTTGAGCCGGGTCACGGTCGTTCTCAGCTCAGTGTTTTCTTCCTCGAATTGCTGCACCCTGGGGACAGAAGGGGGACCCAGCTCAAGCTGGAGGGTAGCTCACTATGGGCTGACAAACTGTGCCAGTGCTATGCTCAGGGACCCCAGACACACACCCACACACCCACACCCACACACACACACCCCGTTGGTGGGAGAGAGAGTGAGACTGGAAGAAAATAGAAACTTTCCTAACTGGTAATAGAGTCCTGAGGTTTCTGACATGCAAGGCAAGATCCTCCTGGGTATGAAAGGCCATGCTTATTTTTATGTTTGGGATTTTAAAATGTTAATTTGTGGGCCCAAGCATAACCTGGCTGCCGCCTCGGCAGGGCCCGAGACAGCACAGGGTGGCCGTGTCCTGCAGTGGGGAGAGCTGCTGTGGCTGGTTGTGCCCTGGGCCAGCAGAATGAGCACTGGGCCTCACTCCCCACGTGCTCATCAGCTGACTGGGCACTGTGGGCACTGGGTTCCCCATCCTCCATGCCAGCAGTCACAACGTGCCTGGAGGAGCAGGTAGACCTGGTGCCTAGGTTGCTCCAATGACCTGAGCCCATCCGTGGCACCAGACAGTGCCAGGTCATGGCTGGACACCCATTCCTGCAGGGTACCCTTTCC